AAATATATCATTATAACAACTGAGCAGAAAACGTGACAAATTTTGTACCTTGATCATTTTTTTATGTTTAAGTGGATTTGAAATTTCTTATTTCTAACTGACGAATTTGCAATATTGTTTCAAGATTCGCTTTCAATCAAGCGGGAATAGATGTTTTGCGGTGAGCAAGAATGTCTATATATAATAGAAGTAGAAAACACTACTCAAATATATAATAAACCATCGCATTCTGACATATATATATATAAATCTCTGAAACAGACGGAATTTTGATAAACTCGTTTTACGTCATCTGGATATTTGTTACATGCAAACTACACCTCATCTCTCTGAAGCCTCGGCGGGTCATGTCATTGAGGAATCCAATGTCGTCTGCTTTGACTGCAGTGAAAAGCACGTGACAAGTAATCACCACGGTGAATGGATTGAAAGAATTATTTCAGCACCATTTCACGATAACAGCAGAACCAATTCATCAACACGGATTCTATTTTAATACATGTGTCACTTCAGAGTTCATACACGATAATTCAGAGCAACGTGGAAGTGAAATATCTTTCTTTATAATCTCCATAGAAATGAAGAACAGTAATAAGATATCATCTAGTGTTGAAATTTGAAGAATAATTCAATGTTGAAGGGAAGCTGAAATAAACAAAAACAAATAAATGACCAAAAACAAAGACATTAAGACTGATCAAATTATAAACTAGCTAGCAAAAGCTGCTAAAAATGCGCTGATACGTAATTCAATATCATAATCATAATAATGTTTCATACTTCTAGATCAAAAAGCCTTAACACATATACAAATTCAATGAAATAATTCATAAATGAAATAAGGCAATTAGCACGACAGAGAGCAGTACAGTATTGATTACTACCAATGTGATTTTTTAGGGAAATATCTGAAACTTCATGTTTAGGTAATATTTATCGAGAGTATTGGTTTGATATAAGTGCAAAGAAAGCTTAACCTCTAAAACCTAAATCTTATGATTTGCTTTCCTAAATCTACAATCGCGTGTACGGTATGAGTATGACAAATTGGACAGAATAAACAAACTCCCTTAAAAGACCCTATTTATTAACTATGATAAAATGAGGAATCATTGTGAAATATACATCTAGTTGACTCAGATAACAAATCCAGAATAATTATGAATATATATATGAACACGCATATTGTATTCATTCCCATCATGGTTACTAAGTTACAACAGTGGAAGTACAGCAGTGGGTGTAGCCAAAACCGCTAATGTTACGGGGTAAATATAGTGGACGCAAATGAAAGCATAATTGCGGCCAGGTGACAGTTTAAGAATAAAGGGTGATATTATGTTTCGTTACACCATCACCATGAAATTGGACATGATTACGTTTTTTTTTCAAGTCATTGAATACACATTTCCCTATTTCTTGTTTAATTGTACTTTGTGATTATTAACAATAACACGTTATCTAAAGTAGCTCATTTTCATAGCATTACGTGTTGCTTGAGAGAAGTTGAAAACAGGTTTTGTGTTTGCTGTGTGTTGGTTCGTTTGTTCAAAATCCCAACCATCGATCACGGCGCATAGTTGATTGCTTGATAATAGGAATTATTCAGCTGAAGAGCTCTTACAAAATTACACTCCCGACATTGATCAGCTGCGTTGGCGGCACGCGCCTGTTTTGGCTCCGGCTGCTGAATTGCATGAGCCAATATAGTCGATGGACGAGTTGATTTATAAAATAGATACTGTGGCCCAAAGATGTTTTTACATCTTGCGACCTGAAAATAGGTATCATTTTAATATCTATTTTGACAAATTCTCGCTCTCCAAATTTAGGACCTTAGAAAATTGTGGAAAAGACACATTAGTGAATAGCACCTTTATATACGAACTACATAAGAAACAGTGATGCCAAACCTTGAAATTAATTGCATCACACACCTGTTTCGTTCTTCTAAGGGCCTAAATTTGAAATCTTGACGGTGACTGAAGATAATCCAAAGTGATCAAATAAAAAGTCAAAAATGCACTAGCTCTTTAATTCGGTAAATCAAATAAATTTCATGAATCTCTTATATCTGATATATCAGACCAAAAGCACGTGCATGTGTATATTCTGAACCGTGCCACTATTCGAATGAATTGTAACTAGGACGGAGCACTTGTAAGATGCAATTTGATTAATTATGGTATTCTATCTTAAAGATTAATTGAAAGGTGCTTTCCACTTTTGTCTTTTGTACAATCTTTTACCCTTAAGACTCCAAACATCACTGACGAGTTCAAGAAAGCGAAAATCATACAGTTTAATTTATCATTTGATTCTACCTAGTTAAATCCCAAATTAGTGTTTTAATATTTGGTTTTTATGCAATCCTTCCAATATTATGATATACGAACACCATGCGTGTCTATTGAAGCATTGACTATTTCGATTGAAGCTGTCCAACAAATGTCTTTAGTTGTTAAAGCGGAATTTTACAACTAATTATAGCTGTAGGTCGTCTGGGCAACACATTAAAGACAGGCGATAATTGCACGTCATTGAATACAAAATAAATAGGGAACACTTCTGTGTGATGTTAGCCTATGTGGAATGTAAACGGGATTGATTATACCAATGCCATTGCTTCATTACAGATGCTTCCCTTGTCTTCGCTTAGAGATTTGGTTAAGCACGTGTCTTGCCTTTGGAGACACGTCCACATTACCCCATCAACTTGTTGGCTGTTCTTTCAATGCGATAATTGATAGCAGCAAAATCTTGATTGAAGATTGACTCTTTGTAGCAGGATAAGAACTGACACAAAGCGATTTTTGAATTACGAATCTCGACAGTTGTCAACACTTAAAACCAGTCTACCGAACAGATGTCAAGGCAATAATAAACGCTGACATTTCGAAGAATAATGAAAGATCAATTCTCCAAAGCGTGTTCGAATCCAAGAGGCTAGATTATCTGTACAGACCATAAGTCAAATAACCGTAACTGCTGCAAGGATGTATAATCCTTAACAACCAAATTTGGTCAAATTCAAGCAGATGTTACTGAAAAAGTATAACTGACCAAAATATTATGCGATGGTCATTATGCTTATAAATGCATGTCAACGACAAAATCGGTCACAAAAAAGCATCAACCTCATCAAGGGTCATATTGCTATATACCTTTCATCGAGATTCAGTTTCCATCTTTCAAAACTCTGTATTTCTCTTTCGCTAGATTTTCCTTAAATTCTCATTATTCATAATATTAGCTTCTTATATTTCGACTAATTAATAAAAAATATACTTTTTAAAAATTGTGTACGTGTAATATGATCAGGATGATGACGACAACAATACCTATGCAACACAATATGAAATACAAATTTGAATATGTACATATCATTTCTATTCGTGGAAAGCCGAAACACTGCACTCCAGCCAAAATAAGTGAAGTTACACTGGTTGTAATACATTCTAAATACAAGAGATTTTCAATGAATGTGTTATAAAATCAAGGCATAGAAATAGGTATGTATCTAAATCATCATGAATGATAAAATCTGTTTTGGTATTCATCACACGACTGAATTGTGCTTATTTAGTTTATAGCCAACGAGCATTGTGAAAAAAGACGCAATATTCCATTTTCCTAGATTGAAATGTTCGCTTGATGCAAATATCCAGTGTGTGTAGGTGAGGTTTGAATATTAGGCAAAGCCTTGGTATGAAATATTCATTCATGGCACCGTCCTAATCTAAAGCATCTGCTTATGAATATTCATCTTTGTAACCATTGCAATGTTTGTGGCCTGATATCAAAGCTGTTTTACACGTTTGCATATAATGCTGTTTATCTGTCTGTCTGTCTGTCTGTCTGTCACTATGTCTGTAATCCACTTCTACTGATCCTACAATGTCATGTTTGTTTTCTCTATTCTATTTCAAAACTTGTTTTCTACCAATATTGTAGATATATGACTTTGTCAAGTTAGGTCATAAAAGTGCCACCCTGATATATCACAGATGTTGATAGAACCCATATTATATATGACAAGGTAGTGTTGTAATTTCACGAGTAACTAGTACTGTTTATTGCTGACACGCCTCATTAAGGTGTATGCCTGCTTAAATCATCTTAGATGGCTAAGCTGCCATCCTAATGTAATATCATTGGTACCGTCTATAGGTTCCATTCTTTCTATGTCATACTATTTATTGATTTCTAATTGTTTTCTGTTATATCAGGTTCCTCGTGAAAATCTTCATTCTGTTTATATTTTGTCTAACTTCATGGAATTAAAATTTAGGAATTTTGATAAAATGCGGAAGCTGTTTTATCTATTATCATTGTTTCACAATATAATATTACATTTTATACAAGTTACAATTTCCTATCGTAGGCAACGGTGCAATATTGTAAATAAAGATGCTTGCTACTGAATAGTGTGATCACAATGTGTTATCACATAGTTGATAAGATCTTACGCTATAGTTCAGTACTTAAGAAATGGGATATTACTAATTGTTTGTCTTCATGACAACAAGGTAATTCTCATTAGATTTGTGGTGTATTGCTGAAATGTCTCGTCCGTCACGGTGACACTTTGTATCGGCTTCGTATACATTGTTCTATCCTTAACATAGAACCTTATTGAAATTTTCATTTATGATGCTTCTTCATTGAGGGTTCTGGCTATATTAGGTATATGGTGTCAGTTTTGATGGTTAAAATCTTCGCGGTTTCATCAACTCTTGACATGGACAGCGGTTGTCTTTAAGTTTTCATGCAAACAATTAATCCTGGCCAATTTACTCACAACCTCGAAAATAACGAACAAATCGAGTCTCATAAAATAAAGATATTTACCTTTTTAATGGCTTACTAGTTAATATATTCTTCATCAACATATAATAACTAGACTATCCTAGGAAAGGTAGGAACTGAATCACATTTGCCAATATTGTGATAGAAGTTCTACACTATATATTAATACGATATTCAAAATATACTTTCAGTGGCCAATAAACCAGAAGATATACGTGGCATACCGACTAATTATAGCCGCAGGAATGGTGGGCTGGATTATTTCTGACGTCATGTACGAGACAGAAGTGTTCTATAGTGACAGGAGATGGCTTTACCTTATCTACGCCACCAACTGGAGTTTCATCCTCCTTGGGCTGACAGCTATTGTCCAGGCGATTTGCGTGACCTTCTACTCTTGTCGGACTGACTGGACACTTGGTACGTATCGCATTTACTATAAAACAGGAATAGTTGGCGAAATCAATAACGGATTATACAAGTACTGTAGGACAAGTGAAGTAACTATTATCATACTGATCATTAAGTCTGATGGTGATTTATTTTTACATTTATACATGTAGTATATAGTTGAGATACTAAATCATCATATACGTCTATGGGGTTTGATGGATTACACAGTTTAGTAAAGATACGCATTAACTGAAATAGGTTAAGGTATGGACAAATTGTATTTATCATCATTATCAAGACGATTAATAGAAGTTAACTGCAACTCCATAAAAGTGGAATATTTAGAAAAGAGATGATTTTAGAAATTGGCTACAACTGCAAAAGGTACTGGTATAAAGAAAAAGTAGACGATATGTAAAAGTAGGTTAAAACTAAAGAAAATTGTCCATTTCTAGAAGTTTATTACAACTATAGCAAAGATCAGAAAAGGTGATTTTAAGAACAAATAGGCAATTTCTTGAAGTTGACAAAAACTACAGAAAAGAAGATTATTAAGAAACTAGAAGTTGAGTACAATTACAGAAATGATACCTTTCAGACAAAATAGACGATTTCTAGAAGTTGGCTATTATATGCATTGTATAACATTAATAGATTTGCACAAGACAACATGGAAGCAGAGTAACGATTCATGTGTTTTTGCGAAAATTAAATTTGAAGAGATAATTTCTGGCCACACGAAATCAGTGAATAACCAAGCAAAATTAAAATTTCAAATACTATTTTTGCATTTATCCTATTTTTGTATTTATTGACTTAAAGTATCGATCTGCCATCGATAATTCGATTGTTTTTTGCAAGCATCTTAGATCACGTGCCTGTTCCTTCATTTGACAGCTCTTTATTACATGTTTTGAAATGGAGTGAAGCGAAAGAACAAAAGGCAGGGAAGTCGACCTATAATGGCATCACAGAGTTTTGTTTTTTGTTTTTGTTTTTTTTTTTTGACGAGGAAGGTCGGTAGAGAAAATAACCTCTTAGGTACTAGTCAATACGGCACAATTGTTTATTACTGGCAACAGGCAAGAAAGTTCCTTTAGTGTTAAAATACAAAATAAATCATTCAACAGAAGGACTGTTTCCGGAATGAGGAAGTAAAAAAATGCATTTTATGTTATAATTTCAGAGAATAGTATTGGAAGCATGCAAAGCACGGAAGTTAAGAGAATATTGAGTTCTATGAGCGGATACCATTACCATGGTAATCCGGCAGACACGCTAGTCAAGTTAACACAACATCGAAATGAAATTCCAAAACATTTGATTTTCTGTCAGAAAAACCTTTGCGATAATGCTTTATATGCAAATGGTCTGGTGTTATTTCTTTCTTTCAATAACGCCTCACAGTCAAACATTCTGTCAGTGATTTTTTGAGGCGTAAGCAAATCAGTCAGTTTAATATCGTCTTGGTTTCCTCTTTATGCAATATCTGAAGCAGTGAAGTCTGGCTAAATAAGGAGTAATTTAGTCAAGAATTTAATTGTTTCTATAGCTCCAGGTCTACTTTCCAATTTGCTTATAAACTAAGTCAACTGGGTTGATAGGACCAACCAAAGTAAATAATAAACAATAACAATAAATCACATCATAAAGGAAATGTAAGCAATAAATAAGTTACTGTTCAACGTATTGGTCAGAAAAGAAGTTATTTTATCATTTTTTCCTTTGTTTGTGTTTATTATTGATTTATTTTTTGTTTATTTATTAATTTGGTGGTGGTAAGAAATTATTATTATGGGATTTATTATTGTGTTGTCTGTGATGACGGAACGCTATGATCAAATTAAACGGTCGATAACTACTTTCGACAATATGTGTTATGCGATGGACTAATGAAAAGTGTCCACTAAAATAATTGTCACTGTGAATGAATGGTAATAAATTTGATCATTTTCAATGCTCTTTTATTTCAAAATATCTTCATGTGTATATTCAATACCATGACAATATTCAGAGGAACCAAAACATGATATGAGGTGTAACGACAAAGAAATGTGTAAAAGCCCACAATATATAATGAGAATAGAAACATAGTAATTAATACCACATTGTACAGCTTCTTCTTCTCCTTCTTCTGTAACTTATCAGTGATTCTTGAGAGTGTAAGTGTTGAGAAGATTTATATCTAAAAGATTCTTTATTCGGGGCCTGAAAGACGTTCATATGAAAAATCATATAGGAGTATTATTCCTTTTGGAAGCCTCGGCATCTCATTTACTTTAGAATATCAAGTAAAAACAAAGAGGCCCAGTATATTGCTAATCAACGGTCATGTTCCTGGGCTTCTTTATTATAGAGATCACTTTTAGCGTATTTGACCCTTATGGCGTTGGAATTTAGTCATGGTCATTCATTTGAACAAACTTGGTCTGCCTCGCTTCCAGCATGCTAATGACTCAATACCGTTACCATTAGCATTTTGATTCCTAAGAAATTTGCATTTAAATATTTAGCATATTCCACTACAGGGAAATTTATATTGGTACAATGTTCGAAGCCGTGACACTGGCCCTTTTGGTTATTTAGAGTGTACTCCAGGAAACGACGGACTTCACTTTAAATGTAGAGAAAAATTTCAGTTGTAATAAACTGAATACTGGTACAGAAAACAATACATAGGAAAAATACAAATACGGTTTTACTATTGGGTGGTCCCCAAGCTAAATTATGCAGGAGATATATGCATACGATTCGTATATAGCATGTTATAGAATAATTTTAAGGACATAATTATCTTAATGGATTTATAGTAGGCAGGATATGAAGGAATATTACTGAGCGTGTACTTGTTGGTTTGCAGTCGATAGCTTTGCTGAACATTAACTATATCTATCTAACCATACACTTTGGAAATGTTCAGGCGAGAAATTGCGAAATTAACGCCAACGACGTTTCCACTTGTTGTTAATTTTGCTACATTCTTTCCGCAATTCGCAACATCTATCTGGGTTACAAGAAAAAAGAATTGTTGTTTCCAGCAGAGAAGCAGATAGATCAACGTCCTAGAGAGAAACAAGAAAACTCTGGAAAATCTGTAGGAGCTCTGCAGTTGTCGTCACATAATATAATTAAATGGAATCGATTAAGCAAGTATACGTGTTTAATCAACATAAAACGATTTTATACGGTTTGGTGACAGTTGTGTTTATATGACGATAAAATAGCCGTTTAATATCGCGTTTATTTCGGTAGAAAATATTAATATCGATCACAAAAACGCAAGGTATTAACAGTGTATTGGTTTTGTATACAGCGTGTTTGTTTACTTGTTTCGTTGTTTTTACTGACTCACTAATGGTGTGTTATCCATCTGACATAGCTCGGGCAATCACCAATAACGTCTTCAAAAGTCTTACAACATCATCATATCTAAATTTACTAGTTTCATATGTCGGCTCTGAAATGAACTTATGAACAATGTTCGAAAGAGTTTAGGGTAAGACTAATCAATTTTTATTGAAATCTGGTTTGGCACAGTGCCATTTCGTTTTGGGAAATTCTATTTCAGTTACATTACTTCTAAAATTTGTTTTGAAATTGAGATATGTTCATTAGCATATTTGTCTATCAATGATGATAAAATCATTACCTCATCCAAATTAATTTGCTTATTTGATAATGAATAGTATGATTTTTGCTTGCTCAACACTAGTTTACATAAATATATCTGTGACATTTTTGATGAATATATCTTCAATGAAAAATGATTCTGCCAGGAAAAAAACATTTCATCTACGATATCGTAAAAATATATCGTTACGTTTGATCTCATGATATTTCACAAATCACTTTTACTATTGATATCATAGATTGATTCACTGGCTACTGGCACGCAGTGTTTACCAGATTCTTATTACACACGAACACGAACTTTACCGATTGAGAATATCCTATATAGAAAGTATCAGAGGATCTGACTGAATTATCTGCGTCCATATCACTGCCACAAAGCATGGTGCCATATTTCTCAGTACGATTTTATCTATACCGCTGATACGTAATACCTTTGTAGATGATAAAATGTGACCCGAGGGAAGTATGAATATAAGTTAAAAACGAAACCAGTTGCGATGATATAGACATCTATAAAAGTGGATCGATTTCAAAAAGATCAAGCTTACAATATGAGAAAAAACTCCACATGGACAATTTTGTCCTATTTTACAATTCTTTTAGCAAATGAAATACGAAACGCGTTTGCAATGCTTTGGATGTGGTTTACAGTTGATGAAAGGCTACCTTTTTCGAAAAATACGTGACATATATATGTGTGTCTCATCAACATTATAAACCATATGAAAGTGTAAAATAATTGTAACAGATGTCCCATTGGAATTAATTTTAAAAGTTTTTGCACATAGTTAAACATAGCTTTACTATAAATTGTGTCTTGTTTGGTTGTTATTATACAAGTTACTGTACCTGTAACAGAAATTACTTTTCTTATAAGAACAATGCTTAAATTAACAAGGAATATAATTTTTGAAATTTTACATTGCGAAACATACGTTTTCTGTAACTGTCATATGTTTTTTCAGTGGCATGATGTCTGTTATTATTCTGTGATCTGAAGCCCTGAATAACCGTGTCCAGGAGAGTATGAATATTTTAGAAATCAAACGTAACAAGGGAAATAGCAATGGTCTTCTATTGTGAAGAAAATTGAAGAATACATAGAACGCTTACTTCTAAATCAACTTGATTGCCTTGATTGAAGATTTGGAATTTACTCCATGGATATCTATGATACATCTCTTTTGATGTAAGAACATCCCAGCGGTACTCTCTTAAACCAAATTAACCTTAATTTTCGCGCCAAGTAACAAGTGTAGGTTTAAGATAACAGATGTAAGGTACAAATAACAGGTATAGGGTACAAATAACAGGTATTGGGTACAAATAGCAGGTGTAGGATACAAATAACAGGTACTGGGTACAAATAGCAGGTGTAGGGTACAAATAGCAGGTGTAGGGTACAAATAACAGGTGTAGGGTACAAATAACAAATATTGGGTACAAATAGCAGGTGTATGGTACAAATAACAAGTATTGGGTACAAATAGCAGATGTAGGATACAAATAACAGGTGTAGGGTACAAATAGCAGGTGTATGGTACAAATAGCAGGTGTAGGGTACAAATAACAAGTATTGGGTACAAATAGCAGGTGTAGGGTACAAATAGCAAGTGTAGGGTACAGATAGCAGGTGTAGGGTACAAATAGCAGGTGTAGGGTACAAATAACAAGTATTGGGTACAAATAGCAGATGTAGGATACAAATAACAGGTGTAGGGTACAAATAGCAGGTGTATGGTACAAATAGCAGGTGTAGGGTACAAATAACAAGTATTGGGTACAAATAGCAGGTGTAGGGTACAAATAGCAAGTGTAGGGTACAGATAGCAGGTGTAGGGTACAAATAGCAGGTGTAGGGTACAAATAACAAGTGTTATCCATGGAATATCGGTAGATAAAAGACAACCATCACTAGAGATAAACGGAGTCTAGTGATTGGTAGCAGAACTGGTTTAAGAAAAGCAAAAAATGCCTCTCCTTGCAAGAAATGCTGTGAACTTTCAAAGATAAGATCTTTCATAATACGACGATAAAGGAATCAGTCTTAATCATTTGACAATTAGAATATTTTTCCTGTCTTTAGTCGTAAACGTTCCATGAGCAAGACATTATGTATTGCTTGAAGTATTTATTTTTAAGGAGTTTATTTCTTCATTATCAGACACTGCCTCCAACAATTCTACAAATTCCGGCGTCCAAGGTAGGTGTGTTTGGGAGCATAGAGATGGAATGGTTAGGATTACGGCTTGAGAAATATATCTTCATGGGATTGCTTCAAAAGAAATAGATAATATACAAACTCATTCATTGCCATTGAACAAATACAAAACTCTTCGTAACAGCACAAAATACTTACATATCTTTTTTTAAAAATAACATTTATTAGATGGTTTTAAACATTGAGAAATAAATTTGAATTTAATTTCTTTAAATCCAAATTATAAATAAAACACTTTATACATTTGCAAAATTTGACGAAATGAGACGTTGTTTGGAAGTATAACAAACCGTGAAAAAAAGTCAATGCATCGTAAGTTTACTAAAGGAACATTCAAGACTTAACTCATAAAAAAAAACATTCCTGCTTTGCTGTATTCAACAATTCATCAATTAACTTACCTTTATTGTTATATATCCTCACGTACTTATACAATAATGGCTTATTTCAATGTACCTCAGTATATACAACACGTAGCACCATCATTAATGCATGCGGGTTGATATAAGTCAATCCTCTTTACTTTAATGGGTTCCTTTTACATCTATCTATTTTCTTTGTCTTCATATCTATTTATAGATTTAACGTATTTATTACTCAATGAAATTCACTTTCCTACCGACGACATCGTTCCTCGTATACTTAATTTAATTGATGTAACGAAATGGCTACTCCAGCAAATTGTCATAAAAGTGAGACATGAATTATACATTGTAGATATTGGTACAGGATTTACTCAGTATACTTTAATAGTTATTTTTCCAATGGTTCAAATTTGCCAGATTATTGCATTTGACAGGATATATATTTTTCTCTTCAATTTCCTATTGATTTGTTTCTTCGATTTCATTTTAACTTACAATTAAGGAAAATCAATTAACATTTAATATAAAAACATAAGCTAATACAGATAGATTAAACTTTAAAGATAAGTTTGAGATAAATCTGTTGGTTGAGAAACAAGTCAATTTGCATATTTATCACGGGTTTTTTAAAATGTAAAATAGGTTTTTGAATTTTGTACAGTCAGATTGTGCTTTAACATGTTATTTATAATATATGTAATAAATTATATAATACTCTATACTTTGTATGTAGTTACAATATCCTTATGTCCTTTATGTTGCATCCATCTTGTTACGCGCCCAAAACGGTTTTGCCACTATTTTCTCATTTCTTCGTTAAGTCTAAAATGATTTTCTTTCTGAAGCTGTCGCGGCCCGATTTTCTCGGCAAACAGATGACTGTACTTCCGTTAGTTATCACGGTAACTACGTAACGCATGACGTCATAGTGCTACTTCAGTGATGGCGAAGTTCTCTTTTATATGGTGTGCTGATTATCAACTGTACTTCTGTAAAGTGAACACTGTTTAATGATATCAATCGTTGATACATTTATGTGTAGTGTCAAATGTGTTTAAACTATTTTTCTCTATCATATTTAAAATGTTGATAGATATATTTCTATAAGCTTGTCTTCCAGGTATGGCGACTATTGCCAATATTCTATCTTTAGCTATAGTTTGGTCATCATTCTGTCAACATATATATATATATTTGTATTTTGTATTGGTAAATTAATTCGATATAATGTGTAACCTTTATGTACTACAGTGCTTATCATAATACTGAAGCAGGAAATAATCATTAGTGACGAGAGAGCTGCATGGCGCAGTATAATTCAAAAGATGTCTTTTCTACATGTAATTCTAAATTTGTAAGGAGGTGCTCTTCACTTGTGTGACTTTTGTACAATGTAAGAGAAATTAACAGATTTCTTAGCACGATCTTATCCAAGAAGTATTTTATTTCGCATTCGTAAGAAAAGAAAAATTTCATATGTGCATGGTTAAAATAAGGCATGTTTAGTGCATAAAAATAATATTATCCAACCCGTCTTGTATACTGCAGATCGTCAGACATTTGAGAGGATGCCTCGATCGTTGAAGTTCCAGTGGGGACTACAGAACCTAAGTTACAACTCTGCTGTGGTGGTGACCATTTCCTATTGGGGGTTCCTGACCTTCCTTGATACATCTAGTATGTGGTAACCGAGTTGTAAATTGAAAAATATAATGATCAATAGATATTTCAGACAAATAAACAACACGATGATTTTTTTTATCTCGGAGGTAGAAAGGATCTATTGTAGACCGTCATTTGTACGTATGTCTTCTCGGATAACTCACCAGATATTCCACTGTCAATAAAAAACATTTATTTTACGTCAACTTCATATTAATAACAACGACAAATACAACTTTCTCTATTTTGAAATATCCTCATTAACCATTCTTGTCTTTACAATTTTGTAAATATATTGATATTTTCGTGTTGTTTAAAAGAAATCACTTTACTTATCAAGAATTAACGATATATCTTCAGAGATCCTGACGTCCGACATGAGCCGCCTCAAACACACACTGAACACCACCTATGTTGTCCTAGACCTCCTAATAAGCGCCTCTCCAATACGCCTACTCCATATGCTGTTCGCCATCATGCTCGGCTCCATCTACTCGTTATTCAACGCCATTTACTTCCTGAATGACGGCACCATTTTGCAGGGACGCCATTACGCCTATAACGTATTGAACTGGGAGAATCCTGCTGAGGCCATCGTAACATGTGTGTTATGCATTGTCCAGGCAATTCTTAGCCAATTTATTCTCTATGAAATTTACAAGCTCAGATCATGGATATTCAGTAAAACATACTTCGACATGGCGGCGAGTCGAGACGGTTCGGAAATGCAGAGTATCATGGCCGACAGTCCAAAATATATGACCCTAGATGAGAAGAGAGATGCAGAAGAGCACGTGACACAATGATGTCACAGTCATTCGCTGATGTCATAATCAATAGATATCCATCTTGGTATATACATACTCATACATATATATATATTGAATGGATTCGTTTCTAAGTCCTGAAGAGTCGTCTTTATTTGGTCTTTATAGTTAAAGCGAATAAAGAAACTTGATGCATTTGAGGAAGAAACATATGTGAATTATTCCTACTGTAATGTGTAAGACAGCGTTTTCACTATCCTAAGTCTATACTTTAGATGAAAAAGCGGCTAAATTATAAAGGAAGCATTATTTTCATAGCGGTGCTAAAAAATTGTTATCTTGCATAAAATCGGTTATTTTTCTAATTCTACAACATCAGTTACAAAATAGAAAAGAATACTCTCTTTTATTTAAGTTGATTTTTAACCACACAGCATTGCAGCAAAACCTACAAAATTATTGAAATGTGTGAAATTAAAATAAATTTTGTGTGATATTTCTTAACATTGAAAGCATTATTCATCGAAAGTTTCATCTATATCTTCCTGTAACTATTTGTTAATCTCACGTTCCAAAAATAAACCACGGTTTTTATCCATAATCAAGAACCATAAATCTGATAAATGTTGTGCCATTCTCCAAATCATTCATTAAAGTTTCCTTTAATGTCTCAAACAAGTATTCCTTCCCGTTGCATGTGACAGTATAATAGTATTTTTGATGACTTTGTGTTAATTTAGTATAACTACAGCTCTTAATTCAATTTAGATAAACCTGAGATGCGCGCACACCAAAACATACCATATCGATCAAATCCTTTAGTGGTTTCGTTTAAGACAGATTTGTTTCAAATCGCAAAATTGCTAGATTAACACTGCCTCCTTGAATACAGATCAGCGATTAAAAAAGGTGTGTAAATTGTACACAGAAAAGATTATAACAACTCTTCACATTTGGTCTTATACATAATGTTTCTAAGACCTTTTGTTTTCAGATTTGTATTTTTTTTATTATTATTTATTGTGAGATATGAATCAGGTTAAATCAGCTTTCTGTGGTTAAAGTTATGAATATTTACGTCGGTTTATGTAAAGAGAAGAAAAATCTGGCTTAGCTGCATGATATACATATTGTCATAAGCAGTTCATAATTTGTTCATATACAAGTTATAGTCGGCTGCAAATGTATTGTCACTACTAATCGGAAACACGTACATGTGCGTCATTTCCTTCATCAAATAGCAAGCTTCTATAAAGTTTTAAGGAACTTCGAGAAGACTATAGAAAATACATTGCTTCAACATTAATGGAACATTACAGAACACTATTTCAATTATGTAACAGTTTTTAAAGAGCATGGCTTTTCTGCTTTGATTGATGAATCTGATTGCCATTTGAAAGTTCGAACCTTAAACGCTGGATAACAGATTGAAATCCTGTTTAGAAGTGCTAAGATGGAGAGAAAATGGACAAGTTATCGTTCTGGATATATGATGATTGATCATCCAGCTATATTGTGGAAAGGCGTATTGGCATTATCCAATAAGGAACGTTCCAGCCACAACATGGGAGATAACTCGCGTTCCAAAAGTGATTGGCAATTTGGAGCCTTAGTTTCATGTGCAGTTCCTGGTTCATTATATCTAGAATAGGATAATAATCCTCGTCTATTTCTGTTTTGAAAGTTTCTATATGCCGGGAGTTTACCCTCGTTAATTCATTGTTTATGCATGCTATGAAAGTTATATATTATGATAAACAAACATATAATGTTTGACAATCATTGAATTCCTAGAGATGTATATTTTCAGAAATATTCAAATCATATGACATTTCTGTGGTGTTTTATTTTTCCCTCTCATATTATTAAAAAGTTGAATCATTCTTCTGATATTTTGTCATGTTTTTCATTACTAAATAAATTCAAAACTCAATATGTACATATAGATCACACACACACACACACATATATATATATATTCAAAAAGTCAACAGAGATAAACGTTTTGTGGTAATTGGGTTTAAATCATAACCTTACGGTTGACAATGCCATCTGAAGCAATTATTTTCTTACGCTACAATCACTTAATCAAAAGATGATGGAAATAGTAATTTATTACAAAGAGATGAAATATGTTGTCTTGTTCACAATATATCACATTCTACAATAATTCGAGTGACAAGTCAAGATTCAAGAAAATTACTAGTATGACATATTGAAGATGTCACAAATAGGGGAACATTTAAATAAAAATATACATTGAGAATTAAAAAAATAAATATGTATCGATAATAATTAGGGCCCAGTTCCTTGTGAGAACAGCAATGTTGACAAAGATTAACAATCAATACCGTACTTGTACATGGTATTTGCATTGAAATAATTACAGGTAAAAAGGAAGTTATACCGGAGACTAACGACGATATATAATTATATATATATAAGGAATCAATATCTAAAATAAATATATTCCATGTAAACATAGATACGTATTCAAATAGGTGTATTATCTACACCTGTCAATCATAAAGAAAGAACATATTCGAATAATGTACAGTTGCTGGATACTTGATCACAATTTTATTGATTTATTGATTAATAAGGATCATTCTATAAGACTATACAAAAGACACACAAACAAGTAGCGCCTTTCAATACAAGTTCAGATAAGATGCAGTAGAGTCAAACCATTGATTAAACTGCACCACACAGCTGTTTTGTCCTTTTACGACTCGTCAGTGATGCTAAGGATCTTAATTTTGAAACTAGAAGACGACCCAAAAAAATCCAAAGTTATCAAAAGAAAAAAAAAATGTCAAAATCTAGATAGAGAGGTGTACCACCCTATAATTAAGTCACTTCGTCAACACCATATATCTGATAACTGTAGAGGAGCGTCAAGCACTTGTGTGTACTCTGAAACGTGCCACTATTCTCATGAATTAAAACGGGATAACAAAAAAAATATTTACCAAAAGGTATGTTTAGTAACATCATTCATCTTCAAAATATTTTCGACATTCATATATCAAGGGTTTAGATTTAAAACAGTTATCCAAACTGTGTATGGTATGACCTCTTTTACAACTATAGCAGTTAAGAATGTTAAGCGAGTCATTTCAAAGCTATAATTAGATAAGATCTGTAAGATTTGTTATTAATCAAATGCTTTTCATGGTTCCCGGATATATATCTACAAGGATCGCAAAATGTTATTTTTATTTCTTAAGCAAAATCTATTCTGATTACTTCTAAGAATTTCGATTAGCAATTTTTCAGAAGATATATTGCTTAGAGGTCACAGAGTACTCACCAATGTACAAAAACTAGGAGAGTGTTTGGAAAATGCATGTATACCGTACTCAAGTACCAATCGACCTTACTGCAGGAAATGCATGCTGTTAGTGTAATCAGTGTTGTATTCCCTAGAGGTACAACCTGCTTGAAAAATCCATCAACCGTCTAATGTATTTCTAACGACAGTAACGACAAGAGAGGTTTCTGGTCAGTAAATCATTTACGATCCATTTTAGTTATATATTCAGACATTTTCCGACTGAGGCTTTAAAATGAGTTAAGAAAACTACATGTATGCATGCTTAAAGCTTAATTCGTACTGGACGCAATGTAAATATCCATCGGGCACTTTGTAATGACGAAGGACAGGGCGTCGAAAGGAAAATAATGCAGCTTGATCATTGTTTTCATATACCTACCGTGGTGTTATAGTGATAATTTTTGAAAAATATACCACTGTCCTTTTTTCTGGATGAAGAAAAATCATACGACTTTTTGTGAATTCATGATAAGATACTAGAGTTACCTCAAACACTTGAAGATAACAATTGACGTTACCATGGCGATATATTTGAAAGAGAAACCAGATACAGTCTTAAAAAATAATGTTATTTTTCAAAACTGATATTTACAAATATATTAAGGTATGTGATAAACAGAATGTATCATTCGTTTCCATTTTATCGACGGAGAAATTCTAATTTCTAAGTCTAATTTCACATGAACATTAAAATCCCTCGATCACCTATCCGATATTGTAATATTTGACAATGCAAAGCTTGCTGTATAGTTATCACCATTTCGACATTGTCATAGCATATTTTTTTATTTTGTTATATTTCACTTTTTATGTGTCAATTTTCTTTAATCCTGCATAGTATCAACTAGACAGTGTCGTTTCTTGAGCATTCTGTGAGTCGGAAATGCATCAAAGACACAGATTATGATATCTTTTTAGTATACAATGAGACCCAGTAGAAAACGCGTATCTTGTTTGTATGACTTTTTTCCAAATTTTGAATTGGTAATAGTATGAACTTTTAACATATGAAACATTGCATCTCCTATGCAACTATTTACTGCCTTTTTAACGAAGCTATTGTAAAAATGATAAAATCGAAAATTTATCCCACAATCATTTATTATTAAATTTGTTGTGTGTCCATCTTCATGAAACATGTTGTTATAAAGTATGAAAATGTACATGAATAAATTGATAAGTTCATAAACTTACTTGTCGCTTTGGATAAGAATGTCCCGTTTTCTTGGTTCAATACTTGAAAACGAAACATCGAAGTTCGAACGATTTAATTGATCCTTGTACATTTTGTAAGTAAAAAAAGGTACCTGTAGCTATGTCGATAAATCTAAGTCGTGTTTTTATAAGTAAAATTGTCGATGAATAAAAAAAATTCAAACAAGGTTTTACCTTTAAAGCACGACACCAACCTTTGAGCCTTCGGCTATTCTAAGGCATTGTATCATTCTTGAAAAGAAACCACGTTTATAGATGTTCTGATTATAGTGTCGTCTGCCTCGATATAATATTTTGTATTTAATATGAATATTTAAAGAATGAAGGGTTAAACTAATATTGATACAGCATAATATGCAAAAAGTGTCTAGGGCAGGCTTTTGCTTTCCTTTATCCATGCTTTCCTTTATCAATCAACGGGAAAAATACATTGTCACAATGCTATGTAATCGTTGGTCGTAACTCTAAGGCTTTTGTTAATAATTTTTAGATCCTCTAAATAATCCATAACTCATAATATTCCTTTTACCTGTTTTAGTTAAGATAAATTCATACCAACAGGATATTGAACTTCGCGTTAGGCAAATTTAAAGGCGAAAGTCGATAAATTAACAATAGTGATATTTAGTTACTGTTTAAATGTACACTATACCAGACGGTTTCTTCGCAAGGTTAGAGTGCTGTTCTACCCTTGGTCTACATAAACACATCACCACCAGCAACTGTACCTAATACCGAACATCAAACACACTGGAGCAGCTGCAGTCATGGGCATAACAGGTGAATATTTAGTTTTAGTAATAATTTGAGTTTAAGATTAAGTGGCCTATCCGGATTGAAGCAAGAACATTTCAAGAAAGTGGTAAGTTAAAAATTATTGAGTGAAAAATAATTAAAATTACATGAATGGACAATACATGTAAGTACTATTCACTTTTATGTCTTTTGTAAAATTTTCAACAGTTTAATACATTGATTGACTCATTAGTGCCACAAATCAATGGAAAATTAGAATTGACAATCTAAAACATACAGGGAAAATGTAGAATATCAAAACATCAAATATGGCAAAGCTCGGAATCTGTAGTTTTTGTTAAGTTTGCAAAACATAAGAATCTTCAGATTAAAAAAAAATCGTTGGCTGCATATATATATCTCAAAGTAATCATAAACAACCAAAAAACTAGCATACGTAATTAAACATTTTCAATAATCGAAATATCAGTAAAATCTATAGAAAGTTATAAGATCAAGCAAAACAACAAATGATAAATTACCATGCAACTGATGGTGTTGTATATTGATTTCAATGAGATATATCTACGAAGTCATATCATTGTTATTCAATTCAAGAACCCTTGCAAGTGTGAATATTATTTGTTGTCTACGATTCTAAGTTAGATTAATTTAGTTAAATTTTTATCATTTTTTTTTGTTTAAAAGGATGATAAATTCAAAGGATCAACGCCTGTTTCATAGTTGCAAATATACATCACCACAAAATTGTTTCTCGTGTTTCTAGATGCCTCGGCGAATACTTTCTGATTCTCACAAAGGCTGGTCAGGATGGGAGTCTCGTTTTAATGCTGCATTGAGGATGAGTAAGTCAAGCATGTTTTCTACAAGAGTGAAAAATGAACAGGAAGGAAATCGTTTGTCGATGAAATTACGTCACATCCGGAAAAGTAAACAAAAAACTGAAGACATAGCAAACAGGGACATAAGAGAGACGAAAGACGACTTTATCAAAATCATCGCTTCTGGACAAGTCTATAGAAAACATCGATTTGAGAAATATGATCCATATCTGAAGGATATAAAAGAGCACAGGACTGTAGTAGTGGACAAGTTCAAGGACATAAAGAAGGCAACTAAGAACATCCGACTCGCAAACATGATCGCTAAAGGTCGTATGTTTGAGCGACCCTTCAATGACCTTGCACCTATCCCCGAAGAAAGTGGTGTTGTTTCGATGGGAAACCGTCGCGAGTCGTTAATTCATCCGCTTGATCAGTCCAGCATGATAGGATTGAGACGGTCTTCTATGAGTAGTTCAGTTGATTTAGCCGTTCGCAGAGACCGTGCGGTTTCTGCATCGTCGCGGTTCACTGACCAAGCCAGCATTAAGAGTGAACAGCTTCGCGTGAAAGAATATTCGTACAAAAGGATCAAACGAAAAGCTAAGACTATTATCATGAGTCGAGATAGGACCATATTTCCGGGAGAATGCAAATCGACTTATGAGATGAGGAAATTCATGGCAAAAGAAGCAACAGATTTTATATATTCATTCTCAGCTGAGGGTAGACGGCAGGCTCAGATCGACAAGCTAAAACGAGAGGTACAACTTCCACCTTTTGTAGATCGAACAAAGTCGACTTCAGCTATACTGCGACACTACAGGGAGTACAAATCCAACAGGCCTCTTTTAGAACCTGTTTAGTCACCATCTCGTACAGTCATGGGAAGAAGCTATAATATTCTGTACAGCCATAAAAACGAATGAAAGGCAAATATAGAATCGTACAGTGATTATATCAGTTTCGAGAGGAAAGAGACACCTTCTTATCTATATCTGAGCTGTTTTAGGAATATCTTGATTTTCCTAATGACCCAGTTTGATAGATTTCTATACCAAATGACACTGCCATCTCTGATGACGAATCCTATATGGATAAAACATCTGTCTGATGCAGTTTTATGCATTGTGTGTTACATACAGCACCTATTAATGAGTTTATGTTGAAGAGTGTTATTTACCTGTCTTTTGTATAACGAGTCTATCCTTTCATGACATGGGATTGTCTCGTCCTCAAACGAAAGGAGGTGTCATTCTGAGTAGACCTAAACATTGCCCCCTACAAATATGTATATCACTACAACGAATGACAGGAACATTCTTATATTTAAATTCATCTCCTATACTACAATACACGTATTTAACATTGAACGCGTTTTGTCAAGGATGAAAGATATTTGTACTTGAAAGGGTATCATACTTAGACATATTCAACACGTCCTTCATACTGAACTTTGAAAAGAAGGTGCTGCTCACGTGAATACCTTTTGTACAAACTTAGCATTTTGTATTATGAAAATAAAAAAAGTATAAACACAAAATTATGTGTTACATATGTGCATAAGATAAAGACCCTATACCTTTCCATTACAGTTCTCAAATACAATGTCAGATTCTAGGATCGCAGGACAGCTTCCTGTCTCTTTTATTGCAGTGTTGCTAGCAGGATAATGATGTCCGAATGGCTATGTGAAACTTTCAAATTAAGTAGCATCTGAAGTTGTTTAACTCATGTCTGTTCATCTGTCTCTTAGATTAACTCAAATAATCTTACAGAATTGTTTCATGCTATAATCAGACGTTTTTTTTAACATAAAAGAGAAGAAAGTAAGTGAATCGGTGCGTTAACAATAATAGCTATAATAGAACAACGAGGAGGAGGATGTTGATTGGTGTTGGGGGATCTTGATATATAAGGAAGCACGTTACATAAAGAACAAAAATTCCAATTTAGACTTATTTTAATATTATAAGTCACCATATAGTTACAAAAGAGTGAAAAAAGTAAAATGTTGTACAAGCTAGATTGACGACAAGTTTATTTTATTTTGTCTGATGAAACAGAACCATTGCTTTAGCTTGTACATATAAACTATTAATTAAGAACGTATATTATCATATAAAACTTTGACCACAAAACAATTTAAAACGAAACATATTTACACAATTGGACAATAGCATTGTGACGTCAGCTTGTTGAGTAAATATCCACGAGGACAACATGAGTCAACTAACGCCTCACAACGGCTATTAAAGTATTGATCATTTCCGTTTAATTTTGAAATTTCACAATATACCACCACAGGGATAGTTTTTCTATGTTGGTTTTATAATAAATCATCTCTTTGTCCGCCTTAAGTAAAAGGTCATGTTAAAAATCACATAACGCTATTTGGTGAAAATGGACAAAAGAAAGGAAATAAATGTTTCAATGCAAGCATTTCAACACAGTACATTTAATAAATGATATATATTTATACTGATTTTGATTTAGGAATTCGTATCGTATATAATAAAGATGACATAAAGGCGTATAAATACAACCAACATTTTCTACAATATATTGGTTGTATATTTCTGAAGTCAGCGAGGACAAAAGTGAAGTTTCTAGTCTTTATCTCCTTCGTAGCTTAATCGCCGTGTGATTCTAGTTATATGTAAAATTTGAAAAGTATGTGTACACGTAGTTTCAATGAAATCTCACTCTTTAACCTCAGAGAAGTTTGAAACATGAAGTGATGACGGACGGAATGCAATGGATGGTTAAAGTTCAGTATGACATTCGAGTCATATGATCTTTGGTCAAAGAGGTAAAACATCGGCAAGTTACTATCAGCGTGCTGACAAAGTCACCATCAACTAGGTAAACATGATAAGCCTGGGTTAACGAGGGAATATATGAACATCGATAAAGTTAACATTAAGTGAGAATTAATGAGGTAAACACGTGTAAAAAATTAATGAGGTAAACGCGTGTAAAAATCAATGAGGTAAACACAAGTTAAAATTAATGAGGTAAACATCAAGTCAAAATTAATGAGGTCAACATAAGTCAGAATTAAAGAGATCAACATAGCAAGACAAGACTGATGTGGTCAACATATCAAACTCAACCAGGTTACTAACCTTATAAAACTTGAAAACAAACCGACTCCAAAAATAAGCATGTAGTTTCTTACATAATCAATTCTGTTTTATTCTGCCGTTTGTTATTCCTAGATTCAGAGTAATAAGACAATAATTAATCATACAACCATTTAAATCAACAAGGTAAATATAATAATTTAAAATTAACGAGGTTAACATAACAGGTTAAAACTACCGAGGTAAAATAACAGGTTAAAATCAACGAGGAAATGTAACAAGTCCAAAATTGACAAGATAAACGAGGTAAAACGAATAGGTAAAGGTTAACGAGGTAAAGCGAATAGGTAAAGGTTAACGAGGTAAAGCGAACAGTTAAAGGTTAACGAGGTAAAACGAACAAGTCAAGACTAACGAGGTAACGCGAGCAGGTAAAGATTAACGAGGTAACGCGAACATGTTAAGATTAACGAGGTAAAGCGAACAGGTCAAGATTAACAAGGTAAACCAAACAAGTCAAGATTAACAAGGGAAAGCGATCAGGTGAAGATTAACGAGGTAAAGCGAACAGGTGAAGATTAACGAGGTAAAGCGAACAGGTGAAGATTAACGAGGTAAAGCGAACAGGTGAAGATTAACGAGGTAAAGCGAACAGGTCAAGATTAACAAGGTAAACCAAACAAGTCAAGATTAACAAGGTAAAGCGATCAGGTGAAGATTAACGAGGTAAAGCGAACAGGTGAAGATTAACGAGGTAAAGCGATCAGGTGAAGATTAACGAGGTAAAGCGAACAGGTCAAGATTAACAAGGTAAACCAAACAAGTCAAGATTAACAAGGTAAAGCGATCAGGTGAAGATTAACGAGGTAAAGCGAACAGGTGAAGATTAACGAGGTAAAGCGAACAGGTGAAGATTAACGAGGTAAAGCGAACAGTTCAAGATTAACGAGGTAAAGCGAACAGGTCAAGATTAACAAGGTAAACCAAACAAGTCAAGATTAACAAGGTAAACCAAACAAGTCAAGATTAACAAGGTAAAGCGATCAGGTGAAGATTAACGAGGTAAAAGCGAACAGGTGAAAATTAACGAGGTAAAGCGAACAGGTGAAGATTAACGAGGTAAAGCGAACAGGTGAAGATTAACGAGGTAAAGCGAACAGTTAAAATTTACGAGGTAAAGGTGAAGATTAACGAGGTAAAGTGAACAGGTGAAGATTAACAAGGTAAAGCGAACAGTTAAGATTTACGAGGTAAAGTGAACAGGTGAAGATTAACGAGATAAACATAAGACGTCAAATCAACGTTATCAGATTAACAATATAAATGTAACTTGTCTTGATAAATGTGAAATGTTTTGAACAAGTTTTGATGTTCCGGGCAGATGTAGTTCTCTTGTTTTTAAATCATCAATTAATTCACCGTTTGTGTAAATTAATTTAAGATACGTTTATTATGATATAAATGTTGCATATTTCTCTCGTTATGTATTTCGAGGAGAAATTATCTACGTATATATTTTGTGACATCGTAGTGATTACCACAGTATCCGAAATCTATTGCATATTTGGTTATATTGCGGAAGATTTCATTTGCCATATTAGCTAAAGATAGCGTAAAATTGATTTTACATCGATCAAAAAATAAGAAACATATGCTACATGCCTGTATACACGGACACCAATATATGAACATTGGACAAGAGGCCCAAAGGGCCTTATAGTTCACCTTATTTAGTTTGCTGAAATTGATTAATTTATACTAAAGGAAAAGTGGTTAAATCACCTGTATCTAATTCCTCTCGTAGGCTCCGCCCCTCCTCCCCAAGGGGTTAGATCCACCGTTTATACAAAATTGATTCCTCTTCAACCAAGAACGCTTCAGACAAAATCAAGACATTATCCAGGTTTTTCCACAAGATAATTTTTAAGAATTTGGTCTATTTCCCTTGTTTGGGGTCGCCCACACTTCCCCAGGGAGCCAATGTCCACCATCTATAAAAAAATGATTCCTGTTCACCCAAGGATGCTTTAGACCAAAAAGGTAAAACATTTATGTTTCTAACAGCAGTAGGATTTTTGTGACTTTGCTCTTTTTGTCCTATTTCGATATGCCCCTCCTACCCAAGACCATCCATCTATAAAAAAATGATTACCCATCACCGCAGAATGCGTCAGACCAAATTTGAACAATATACAATCATTCCGGCAGGAAAGTATAATTTTAAATAATTTCCACTATTTCCAATATCTGGTCCTGCTCCGTCCGCGCCATGTGGTAGAGACCTATCGTTTACATTAAATTTATTTCCCTTCACACAAGGAAGTTTCGGAAGGGGCGAGACCTAACGTTTATACAAAATCTATTCCCCTTCACCTCACAGTTGTTTCAAACAATATTTGGGCAATATCTATTCATTTCTACAGATGAAGTAGGATTTAAAAGAACTAGCACAATTTCCCCTTTTGGGCCCTGACCCTCAGGCAACATGGAGCTGAGAACCAGTATTTATAAAAAGGATGCGTCTTACCAAATTCATCCAAGATCTGTTTAGTCGTTCATTACTAATAGTGGCGATGTTTAGTAACAAGAGATCCCATAGGAAAAGAGTGTTGTATATTGCCTTTGACAACCAGGATATTTATTACAGAAACTATGTAAATGGCATTAGTGCCATTTCTGTGTGATGACTTGAGATGGCCAAAGACTATCCAGGTGGGTATACTAATTGTGTTGACAGGCAACACATCTGAAAATATGTACTATCGTGATCAGTAAGCTGT